CCTGTCAATATGAACTTTACGACGTCTATTTCGTCAGCTGCAGTTGAACAGTGTTGTATTCTTTTTGCTTGGATATATTTAGATACATGTATATATGTGTATGTGGTCTTAATTATAAGTGACGAATGCAGTGAACAGGACAGGGATTTATTTATTTCTTTGTGTGTGTGAAAACCTTGTGTATACCATGCGTTTAAATCTACAACTCGTGATTATTTAACTGTTTAACAGTGGACTTTAATTCGTTGGAATTCCATTACGTTCATGTTGCTGTGCTATTACTAGATGGCAGTAAGTGTTATGCAGGTTTACATGGCAGTATGTGTTATGCAGGTTTACATGGATTAAAACAATGTTTCGAGTGGAAATCGTTGGATGTGTACTGCTCTGATTGTAATGATATTGTTTAAAAGTTGTTAGATATCGAAGTGGAATGGATGTAAGATGGTTACAGGGATTTAGAAAATATGTTGACATTATCATACAGAATGTTTGAGCCCATCATCCTGTGAGAATAATGAGGACAGTCTTGGGACGGATATTCATAGTGTATGGAATGCGACATACAATATATAGTGTATGGAATGTGACATACAATGTATAGTGTATGGAATGTGACATACAATGTATAGCGTATGGAATGTCACATACAATGTATAGTGTATGGAATGCGACATACAATGTATAGTGTATGGAATGTGACATACAATGTATAGTGTATGGAATGTCACATACAATGTATATTGTATGGAATGTCACATACAATATATAGTATATGGAATGCGACATACAATGTATAGTGTATGGAATGTCACATACAATGTATAGTGTATGGAATGCGGAAATTCATTGGTGCAGAGAAGTCAGATAAGATATTTTTATAACAAAGTTTATGCTCTCGTTTTTTTGCTTTTGCTTTTAAAGTTGTGAGTGCTATCAGTTCAAGCATTTTGTACTATTCAATGAACACCATACTAGTTTGATATTTTGATAGATCACATACCTAAGTTCAAAGGTCACATAACTGACTTCAGAAATCATCTGTACTTTCATTGAAAAAGCATGTATCTGATCATGAGTTCAAAGGTCACATAACTCCGTTCAAATTCATCATAAGTAAGGTCAAAGATTGCAATAACTGAGTTCAAAGATCACCATACTTACATTAGAAAAACATTGATCTAAAGTTCAAAGGTCACACATATTACACATTACAAAGATCACATGCATACTTAAGTACAAAGGTCACTGTTTATTGAAACCATAACTTCATGGTACAGAATCAACCCATGTTTCATATTTTTGTAAACATCTTTTAAGTATTATTTAAAAAATTGAAGAAACTTCTTTTTTCAACACATATGATTGATCAATTTCAGTCAGCATTTGTAAATTAAGTTTTGTCAGCATTTTTTACTTGGTTTTAGTCTGAGTGTCTCATAATTGGTTTTACGGTTGTCTGCATTATTTCTTCAATTTCAGTCTGTATTTATTTATCTAATCATTTATTATTTCTGTTTAATCAGGTTTTATCAGGGTATCTTAATCAGGTTTTGTCAGGGTTTCTTAATCAGGTTTTGTCAGGGTATCTGACTCAGGTTTTGTCAGGGTTTCTTAATCAGGTTTTATCAGGGTATCTTAGTCAGGTTTTGTCAGGGGTTCTTAGTCAGATTTTGTCAGAGTTTCCTGATCAGGTTTTGTCAGAGTATCTTAGTCAGGTTTTGTCAGGGTATCTTAGTCAGGTTTTGTCGGGGTTTCTTAGTCAGGTTTTGTCAGGGTATCTTAATCAGGTTTTGTCAGGGTATCTTAGTCAGGTTTTGTCAGAGTATCTTAATCAGGTTTTGTCAGAGTATCTTAGTCAGGTTTTGTCAGGGTATCTTAGTCAGGTTTTGTCAGGGTATCTTAATCAGGTTTTGTCAGGGTATCTTAATCAGGTTTTGTCAGAGTATCTTAATCAGGTTTTGTCAGGGTATCTTAGTCAGGTTTTGTCAGGGTATCTATATAAGTCAGGTTTTGTCAGGGTATCTTAGTCAGGTTTTGTCAGGGTTTCTTAGTCAGGTTTTGTCAGGGTTTCTTAGTCAGGTTTTCAGTGGAGGCAGCATTTCTTGATCAATGTTAATCAGTATTACTTAATCAGGTTCAGTCAGCAGTTCTGATTCATTTTAGTCAATATGTGATATGATAATGATTCAAAGAAAATCTATCCTTATCACATTTTAGTCATAAATATGAATATATTTTAGTCCAAAATTTCATATGAGTCAGATAAATATCTTTCATCAAAAGCTGTGTCGAAATGTTTTCATTTGAAATGAAGTTTCTTAATAAATTATCATAGATCTACATATCTGAATAAAATTTGTCAGTGTCTTTAAACGTTAGATTGACCTTAACATTGATTTTGATTAATTGCACATTTAAAATCTTTTCTTGAGTTGCATATCAATTCAATAAGATCTTGTGTTCTACGTTCGGCTGATAGGTATATAAGAACTACATGAAGTCATGCATAAACATTAGAAATAATTAATGATGTCCCCTAGGATAATCCTTTAGTGTCGCGGAGGGTCCAAATCACGGTGGGAAGATATTCCGAGGGTCGTTCTAGGCTCTACTTGATTCTTGGGACAATCTTCGGATATTGGTCACTGCATCAGATATCGTATATTTTTTATTCAATTTAATCCAGTTCTTGAAAGGATATGGAAATGTGTATATTTATAGAATGGATTTATTTCAAGGTCGTATGAGAATTGCTGTGATAGAGTTGGTTTCCTGTGGATCTGTAAAAACCGTTGCCGACGGAAACATTGTGAAAATCAGTAAAAGAATGGAGGGATATTGTATGATATACAAGGCCTCTGGGGTTGCCTCATACAAGTACTTTGATGACTCATTCGAATGAGTTGGACTTTAAAGTTTTGAGACATGGAGAATGGATAACTCACGACTGAGAGGAGTCAAATAAGGTTTGGGATTTATCGCAGTACATGTTTTTCATGCGTTGGTTATTCATGGGAAATACAGAAAAATGTCTACCAATCATGGCCCTCGGACATACAAGATATGAGATATTCTGTGATGGAGCTACCTGGAGTTAAAACGAAACTCAGTGTGTGTTTATGATAGAGTGGTACCTGTTAACAAGTTTAATATGTAAATTAGGAAGTACCTAACATGACCAACACAGAACTGTTTCTCAGGTTCGAGGACATTTTACAGGAAATTGACAACCGCTGTAAGTACTTCGTGTTGGTGATGTTTTCTTTACCATGAATTTGTATACAGCAGCTCACAAAGCAGGGTACATAATAGAGGTTTGTCGACTCTGTCCGTCCATCTGTCCATCCATCTGTCTGTCCATCTGTCCGCCCATCTGTCCGTCCATCTGTCTGTCCATCTGTCCGTCCATCTGTCCGTCTGTCTGTCCATCTGTCTGTCCATCTGTCTGTCCATCCATCTGTCCATCTGTCTGTCCATCTGTCTGTCCATCTGTCTGTCTCATTCCTCGTGATCATGCACTCTTACGACAGATTTAGGGGAAATGTCAGGAATTTTCTTCAGTTAAGAGAAACATGTTACAGATGTACCTGGGTAAGTTAGAATAATTGCGTGTATAATCGATCAAAGCTAGCTAGGTCAAGTCATCGCCCTTTATGGTCACTCTAGCTGTCATATTTCTTGGCAGAATTGGAAAAAAAATACAGGTATAGAAACCATGAGATAAAGAGTTATTTTTGATTCTCTATTTATATAGCACCTGGTAAATGTTTATATGTACAGCTGACAATGAGAGTCATATGACCCGTCTCTCTACTCCTATATTGTTGTTTACAGCTGACAATGAGAGTGACAGTGACTACGACCCGTCTCTCTACTCCTATATTGTTGTTTACAGCTGACAATGAGAGTGACAGTGACTACGACCCGTCTCTCTACTCCTATATTGTTGTTTACAGCTGACAATGAGAGTGACAGTGACTACGACCCGTCTCTCTACTCCTATATTGTTGTTTACAGCTGACAATGAGAGTGACAGTGACTACGACCCGTCTCTCTACTCCTATATTGTTGTTTACAGCTGACAATGAGAGTGACAGTGACTACGACCCGTCTCTCTACTCCTATATTGTTGTTTACAGCTGACAATGAGAGTGACAGTGACTACGACCCGTCTCTCTACTCCTATATTGTTGTTTACAGCTGACAATGAGAGTGACAGTGACTACGACCCGTCTCTCTACTCCTATATTGTTGTTTACAGCTGACAATGAGAGTGACAGTGACTACGACCCGTCTCTCTACTCCTATATTGTTGTTTACAGCTGACAATGAGAGTGACAGTGACTACGACCCGTCTCTCTACTCCTATATTGTTGTTTACAGCTGACAATGAGAGTGACAGTGACTACGACCCGTCTCTCTACTCCTATATTGTTGTTTACAGCTGACAATGAGAGTGACAGTGACTACGACCCGTCTCTCTACTCCTATATTGTTGTTTACAGCTGACAATGAGAGTGACAGTGACTACGACCCGTCTCTCTACTCCTATATTGTTGTTTACAGCTGACAATGAGAGTGACAGTGACTACGACCCGTCTCTCTACTCCTATATTGTTGTTTACAGCTGACAATGAGAGTGACAGTGACTACGACCCGTCTCTCTACTCCTATATTGTTGTTTACAGCTGACAATGAGAGTGACAGTGACTACGACCCGTCTCTCTACTCCTATATTGTTGTTTACAGCTGACAATGAGAGTGACAGTGGCTACGACCCGTCTCTCTCTACTCCTATATTGTTGTTTACAGCTGACAATGAGAGTGACAGTGACTACGCCCCGTCTCTCTACTCCTATATTGTTGTTTACAGCTGACAATGAGAGTGACAGTGGCTACGACCCGTGTCTCTCTACTCCTATATTGTTGTTTACAGCTGACAATGAGAGTGACAGTGACTACGCCCCGTCTCTCTACTCCTATATTGTTGTTTACAGCTGACAATGAGAGTGACAGTGGCTACGACCCGTCTCTCTACTCATCCTTTAAAAGTGCTTCCCTCCAGTCTGTCGTCCGACAGCGTCCTGGCCTTGCCGGTTTGTTTCCTGGCACAATGAGGGAGGATAATGACTGCGACAATGATCATGGTAAGTTTGAAGCTTTTTATTTGATCATGGTAGATCTGATGCTTGAAATTTGATCATGGTTGATCTGATGCTTCTAAGGTGATGATAGTAGATCGGATGCTTGCATGCTTTGTGATCATATAGTAGTTTAAGATGTTTGATTCTATGGTATTAATAAATCAGATAACTTGCCTTAGTACCAAAAATTCTCTCCGCTGGGCATGTGTTTTTTTTAAATTTAATGAAAAGTGTTTTTTGTCTAAAAGAAATTATAAATTAATGCAACATTTAAAGTCTGAAAAATTAGCTGTGTATATATGACATATTGCTTCAACCATTTGATGAGACGAATGGATATCAAAGAAATTAAAAACTGCATCAAAAGAAAACACACATTTAACGATTTACTGAGTGAAAGCCATGTTGATGATCCAATGGGAGGCTACTCACACACGTGTCCATTACAAGTTTCTATCGCGTTTTCGTATGTTGCCACCTTTTGTGAAGTATGGAACAGAATATTGCATTAATCGTGGCATCATTTAGCTCCTTGTGTCAGCTAGACGGCAGGTAATCATTAAAAGGGATGGAAAGTATAAGATCTTGACACTAAGATATTTTACCGTATTAAGAGGGCCGTGTATCTTGACACTATGATATTTTACCGTATTAAGAGGGGCGTGTATCTTGACACTATGATATTTTGCCGTATTAAGAAAGAGGAGCGTGTATCTTGACACTATGATATTTTACCGTATTAAGAAAGAGGAGCGTGTATCTTGACACTATGATATTTTGCCGTATTAAGAAAGAGGGGCGTGTATCTTGACACTATGATATTTTACCATATTAAGAAAGAGGGGTGTGTATCTTGACACTATGATATTTTACCATATTAAGAGGGGCGTGTATCTTGACACTATGATATCGTAGTGCACGTATCTAAAACCAAATTTTCATTTTGTAGAAACTGTGTTGCTAGGTAACCAACCCTGTGTGAGTCTATATGGATCCCAAAAGGATCTAAATAAAAGTGGCTATACTAAAACCAAGTCACTTTGACCTCAAATCTATTTTTATGTCAGTCAAGCTACTGGGCAATATAATAAGGCATCCCTATACGTATAGCCAGTGGTGCCACCTGGTGCATCATATAACATATGGGGTTTTCCCAAATAAATGAAGGGGATCTCAATTCAACCTTACTCCGCTCTGCTGAAATATTTTTACAAAAACCGAAACAAAGAAGAAACAGAAGTTGAAGTCTGATGAGCAAATGATCTTGGGGTTTAACTCAGTCACCCCTGAAGACACATTTGAACTCTTCCAATTCAAAGGTTAGAATAGTTCATGATGAAAGTTCAGGGGTTAATGAGTTAAGTGTATCAGTTTCTGATCTTTTTTGTAATTAAAGGGAGATAAATCTTACCTAGTTTAACATCTCCTGTCTAAATAAAGGATACATATATATATATGCATATGTGTATCTGTAATGTGCCTAAATACAAAAACTCTTCAAACATAAGTAAAATTTAAGGTTAAAATAATTGATGAAAGAAATTAATTTTAAATTCTATTCTTTTTAATATTGAATTAATCTTTCAATGGCAAAACATCAATGTGTATATCTATATGCATTTTTTGCTGACATTTCATTTCATAATGTCCAGTCTTTTTCCAACCTGTTTCATCAGTGAAATTTTTGTTTTTAAAAGTTGCTGAGCTATGTTCATATATCTCAATCCTGTCACGAGTATTTTTTTAAAAATCTCGGTCACACATGATTTTCATTTTACAAAGTCACCCAATTTGAATATTTATTTCTCGCAGTCATATTGATATAAAAATTATACAACGTGTGCAGTTTAATTCAACCATTTCTCAAAGTCATATTAGGATAATGAAACGGAATTATGAATTGGCAGAAAGGGGAGCACTTATTAGCATAATGAAATGTGAATTATGAATTGGCAGAAAGGGGAGCACTTATTAGGATAATGAAATGTGAATTATGAATTGGCAGAAAGGGGAGCACTTATATTAGGATAATGAAATGTGAATTATGAATTGGTGGAAAGGGGAGTGCTTATTAGGATAATAAAATGTGAGTTATGAATTGGTGGAAAGGGGAGCGCTTATTAGGATAATAAAATGTGAATTATGAATTGGTGGAAAGGGGAGCACTTATTAGAATAATAAAATGAGAATTATGAATTGGTGGAAAGGAGAGCACTTATTAGGATAATAAAATGTGAATTATGAATTGGTGGAAAGGGGAGCACTTATTAGGATAATAGAATGTGAGTTAGGATGCAGAAAGCTGTATTATTGCAGTCATTATTACCACCAGTGAAGCTACAAATATTCCAATGTGGCTGGAGGTTTGTTTCATCAGCTTCACAGTATCACCACCAGGCATTAGTCTCCGGTGTATTAAAGTATCAGTAAAATCATTGACATGGCCTTGTCAGGACTGGGAGGGTGAGGGGGCCTATAGCATTTCAATTCTTCTTGAAAAAGGGGAGGGGTCACAGCTAACAGGGGGAGTAGGGCTAACTGCAGCAAATATGGTATTGTGAAAAAATGTGTATTTGCGGTAAATTATTAAAGTCAAAGTTTTAACACTTAGATGACATCAACTGACATTTGTCATATTACTATGAAGTGTATGATATTTGTCATATTACTATGAAGTGTATGATATTTATCATATTACTATGAACTGTATATGATATTTGTCATATTACTATGAAGTGTATATGATATTTATCATGTCACTATGAAGTGTATGATATTTATCATATTACTATGAAGTGTATGATATTTATCATGTCACTATGAAGTGTATGATAATTATTATATTACTATGAAGTGTATATGATATTTATCATATTACTTTGAAGTGTTTGATATTTATCATATTACTATGAAGTGTATGATATTTGTCATATTACTATGAAGTGTATATGATATTTATCATATTACTATGAAGTGTATGATATTTATCATATTACTATGAAGTGTATATGATATTTATCATATTACTATGAAGTGTATGATATTTATCATGTCACTATGAAGTGTATGATAATTATTATATTACTATGAAGTGTATATGATATTTATCATATTACTATGAAGTGTATGATAATTATTATATTACTATGAAGTGTATATGATATTTATCATATTACTATGAAGTGTATGATATTTATCATATTACTATGAAGTGTATGATATTTATCATATTACTATGAAGTGTATGATATTTGTCATATAACTATGAAGTGTATATGATATTTATCATGTCACTATGAAACGTACCCCAATTCTTACATCTGATGGAGAGGAACTACATTTGTTCCTGTACTGGAAATATTAATTTTCTAAAAAGTGCTCCCCTTTCAGCCAATTTATAAAATTCAACTAATTTGGGTGCTTATTACAGGGAATACAGTATACCAGACTGAAGTATTGACAATAAGTGATATAGTTAAGGTGTCTGTCTAGAAAGTTTTTCAGATTGTCCCTATTATCAATATGTAAGATTTATTTGACAAAATATTAAATGCTCAGGTTTATCTTATTAGAATACAACCTCAAGTATGTTGAGATGTGTATCTGACGAGTCGTCCCATTCAGTTAGGTTTCCGGCTCACTGATTCGACTACTGAAGCCTGTAGGTCAGAAATCACCTCGAGGGATATATAGTACCGTAAGGCTGCAAGGAGGTTTAATTGACACCCTGACTTGTGACATAGCTTATCAACTCATTCACCCCTGAAGACACATTTGAACTCTTCCAATTCAAAGGTTGGAATAGTTCATTATTAAGTTTTAGGTGTGAATGAGTTAATCTATATTCAATGGTGTTGAAAGTAACAGAGGCCAGTTTTCTCTCATTCCTATGTCCTTAAATGACCTTAGCTGTTAACGGAATGTTAACCCTTTCACCACTGTAGACCATAATGGACTCATCCTTATAATGAGTGGTAGAGTCTACTAAAGTTACCTAGGGGTAAAAGGGTTAAACAACAAAATAAAACCAAACCAATGATTTTTTCATTCCTGTGCATGTGATATATGATTGAACTATCAAGAACAGGAAGGGGTGGACATTTGTATATGCCTGTCAAATTTTGACAGGAGTATTATGGTATGGAGTTGTCCGTCCGTCCATCGTAAACTTTTGTTTGTCAAGCAATCTCCTCCTACATTTTTTCGACCGATCTCTTTGCAACTTGGTATACAGTATAATCATGATATGAAGTTGTGTCTCCCATAAAAGAATTTTGATTCGACAATTTTTCCAAAAGTTATTGCCCTTTGTTCATTTAAGTATTTGGTTTTTTGTCCGGAGATCTCTTCCTACATTTTTTGACGGATTTCTTTGAAACTTAGTAGGCTAAATAATCATGATATGAAGTTGTGTCCCATAAAAGAATTTTGATTCGACAATTTTTGCAAAAGTTATTGCCCTTTGTTTATTTCAGTATTTGACTTTTGTCCGGAGATCTCCTCCTACATTTTTCAACGCATCTCTTTGAAACTTGGTGTACATTATAATCATGATATGAAGTTGTGTCTCCTTTAAAAGAATTTTGATTCAACGATTTTTGCAAAAGTTATTGCCCTTTGTTCATTTCAGTAACAATAACACTATATGGCATTCAACGTGCGTATATTAATCCGCCCCGCGGTACTCTTGTTTTTTGAGGACACCTGAGACAAAGTCTTTTGTTCGGCGTCGTCCGTCGTCCGTAAACAATTTACATTTTCGACTTCAACTCCAAAACCCTTGAACCAATTTCAATGAAATTTTGCAGAAACCTTCCATGGCAAAAGATCAACTAAAATTGTGAATTATATGGTTCCCAGCCCCCAGGGGCCTCAGGGGCGGGGCCAAAAGGGTCAAATTGACTAAAATTTCAAAAATCTTCTTCTCAAGACCAGATATGGTAGAATCAAATACTTTTCATAGATGGAAGGGTTTTTAGGTGCTCTACCAAAATTGTGAATTT